CCCATGGAGCCCGGCCGGGCTCAGCCCAAAGAGGAGACGTGGATCCCCCTTCCCATGGGCTCACCACCTGTGGGAGGGGCCGTAGGAGTCAGGTGCAATGTCTGTTGGGCAGTGGTCGAGGGCGGGGACCTTGGCGGTCTGATCCTCAGCTACAGAAGCTGGCTCTAGGGACGTGGAATGTCATCTCTCTGGTGGGGAAGGAGCCTGAGCTGGTGTGTGAGGTTGAGAGGTTCCCACTAGATATAGTTGGACTCACCTAGACGCACCGCTCTGGCTCTGGAACCAGTCTCCTCCAGAGGGGTTGGACACTCTTCCACTCTGGAGTTGCCCATGCTGAGAGGCACCGAGTAGGAGTGGACATACTTATTGCTTCCCATCTTGGTGCCTGTACATTGGGGTTCACCCCGGTGAATGAGAGGGTAGCCTCCCTCTGCCTACGGGTGGGGGCACGGGTGCTGACTGTTGTTTGTGCCTATGAGCCTAACAGGAGTTCAGATTACCACCCTTTTTGGAGTCCTTGGAGGGGGTGCTGGAGAGCGCTCCTAACGGGGACTCCCTCGTTCTGCTGGAGGACGTCAACACTCATGTGGGTAATGACAGTGAAACCTGGAGAGGCGTGGTTGGGAGGAACGGCCCCCCCGATCTGAACCCAAGCAGTGTTTTGCTATTGGACTTATGTGCTCATCATGGATTGTCCATAACAACCATCATGTTCAAACATAAGGGTGTCCATATGTGCTCTTGGCACCAGGACACCCTAGGCTGCAGTTCGATGATCGACTTTGTTGTCGTTTCATCTGATCTGCGGCCGCATGTTTTGGACACTCGGGTGAAGAGAGGGACGGAGCCGTCAACTGACCACTACCTGGTGGTGAGTTGGCTCCATTGGTGGGGGAGGATGCTGGTCAGACCTGGCAGACCCAAATCTATAGTGAGGGTCTGCTGGGTACGTCTGTCAGAGTCTCCCGTCAGACGGAGCTTCAACTCACACCTCTGGGGGAACTTCAAACACGTTCCGAGGGAGGTGGGGGACATTGAGTCCGAGTGGGACATGTTCCATACCTCCATTGTTGAGGCGGCTTACCTGAGCTGTGGCCGTAATGTTGTCTGTGCCTGTCGTGGCGGCAACCCTCAAACTCGCTGGTGGACACCGGGTGGTGAGGGATGCTGTCAGTCTGAAGGAGGAGTCCTATCAGGTCTTTTTGGCCTGTGGGACTCTGGAAGCAGCTGATAGGTCTCAGCAGTCCAAGCGGCATCTCAGGGGAAGGAAGCGGTTCGCCACCAAAACTGTTTATGGTGAGGATGGTGAACTGCTGACCCTGACCCTGGCATTGTGGTTTGGTGTACAGAATAGTTTAAAGGCCTCCTCAATCCTACCGACACGTCTTCCCATGAGGAAGCAGAGCCTGAGGACCCTGGGACGGACTCTCCAATCTCTGGTGCCGAGGTCACTGAGGTGGTTAAAAAGCCCCTCACTGACAGGGCGCCGGGGGTGGATGAGATTCGCCTGGAGTTCCCTTAGGCTCTGGATATTGTGGGTTGCATTGGATGATGCGACTCTACAATATCACGTGGACATCGGGGGCAGTTCCCCTAGATTGGCAGACCGGGGTGGTGGTCCCCCTATTTAAAAAGGGGGACCGGAGTGTGTTCCAACTACAGGGGGATCACACTTCTCAGTCTCCCTGGTAAGGTCTATTCGGGGGTTCTGGAGAGGAGGATCCGTCCGATAGTCGAATCTCAGATTCAGGAAGAGCAGTGTGGTTTTCATCCTGGTCGTGGAACACTGGACCAGTTCTACACCCTCAGCAGGGTCCTGGAGGGTGCATGGGAGTTCAACCAGTCTACATGTGTTTTGTGGACATGGAGAATGTGTTTAACCGTGTCTCTCAGGTAGTCCAATGTGGGGTACGCCAGGAGTATGGGGTACCAGGCCCTTTGATACGGGCTGTTAGGTCCCTGTAGGACCTGTGACAGGGTTTGATCCACATTGCTGGTAACAAGTCAGACTCATTTCTGGTGAGAGTTGGACTCCATCAGAATTACATTTTTAACCTTCTAAAACCCTTAAAATGCAGGAGCTTCATTGGGGCATCACCCCCTTTGCCCCCTACCAGGGCATTGCCCCTGGAACCAATTCAAAATGGCCACCACTGCCAAATGATCTTTACAGAAGTTGTACCTACACATGGTGTGATAGAACTGTAGGTCATTTACATCCTAAACCTCAAATAGTCCTCATTTAGTGAGATCTTTGTTTCAAAGTTCAGCATTACCTGTTGGAGTCAACCCTGTTTGTTAGCAAAATCTTAAAAAAAGAACTGGACTTCATTTTATTTTGGTTCACACATGTGTTAGGATGGAAGTCAATGTAAAGCCCTTGGTCTGATGCAAGTACAAGGATGTGAGTGTGTGTGTCCTACCAGATATAAATGTGATGATTCTCCACTGAAAGGTGGCAGAAGGGAGGATATAGCTGAAGAAGGCAGAAAAGAACTCCCAGAGCTGGAAAAAGTTGCAGCGCTGCGGTAGTCACCAAACGTTTCTGGGTAGTAGCTGTCAATGAAGGAGGAGTAGCTGGTCATGGTGGACGGCTCGCAGCCGAGGGGTTTACCCCCGAGAGTGGAAGAATATACATCAGGGGAGAACTGCTTGGTAGACGGACAGAAGTCTGAGTCAGATATGAACGGACGTCTGTAGTAGCTGGGCAGCATGTGTGATCCTGAAGGGAAAAAAAAATTATGTTCTGACAGCAGTGATCACAAATGAACTGTTCTAACAAATAAACTCCCAGATACTCAAAATGAGGAGACATGTTGGATTCTAATGAGTATTTATTATGTGAACAATTGTAAGGGTTAGACAAAAACAGTTTTAATGAGGGATATCCTGATCTGATCGCAAGTATCAGACTGGAGTACCCACACAGTAAAAAATGGAGGGTTAAATTTGCAGTGTTAAACTTATAAGAGTTAATTTCAGCTCCCCGAGTTTTATTTTAACACTTTCTGAGTAAACTGACGCCCAGTGTTGGTGTTAATTCACAGAGTTGATTTCATCAGTGTCAACTCTGGACAGTGTTAAATAAGCTCCGCCCACTGTTAAGTCTTGATTAACACCTAACAGTGTCATTATATAACACAATGAAGTGTTGAAAGAAGTATTCTGAAAAGCCCCGCCCTCTTCCTCATGGACCAGAATTTTCTCAGCAAGGAATGCTGGGTAATCTTGTAGAAATGATGTGTTTACATGTCTGACTATTAAAAATGTTCATGGGTGTAAAAATGTGTTTTTCTGGTTAGTTTTCTTGTTCAGGTTGTTTAGTTTTTCAAGTTTAAGTTTTGTGTTATTTGCCATAAGTCGACACCATGAGTGAGGTACTTCCTGGTGTGTGAAGGGTCACACTGTTGTGCTGTTTGTTTTGCTAACTGACGACCAGTGTTAACACAACACTTCAAGAGCTGATTTTAACTCTAGGATAGAGTGTGTAACATTGTGTACTCTGACTCACATTGTGTAAGAAAGAAAACAAAAAATAATGTTAGTATTACACAATAAAGTGTACTTTTTAAATAACGTGTAGTGTAAAATTAACTCCATAAAAATAACAATAATATTCTATAGAGTGTTAACGAGCTATAGTGTTAAATAATTTTACTCAATTCATTGTTGGTTTTGACACTAAAATGAGTAAAATTAACTGAAAAGTTTACACTGGCTAAAGAGTACATTTTACACTAATTTTGAGCAGGACCAAATATTATATGAAACAGAGTTAAATCCAACTCTGTAGGTGTTAAAATTACACTTTGTTTTTTACTGTGCATCTTTCATCGGTATCTGAACAATTGCCCCTTGTCTCCCTGTGTTTGTTGTTGGTCTATTATCCATTTGGGATGTAACAATTAATCCACATCAATTTATCCATTAGATGATTAATGATTCAAATACACGGAGTCAAAACAAAAACATAGATCCATATGGTCAGATGTGCCAGATGATCCAACACAGAGACTCTTAACCTGTGGGCTGCTGTGAGCGCCACCTTGAGGGCCTCAGAAGAACAACAGTTTTTAACTTTGGGCCACAGAGGGCCGTGGGACCACATTGATTTAGAATAAGGTGTAATACACTTTCTCACCACTAGTAGCAGTAGTGCACCACTCAGATGTTTAACAACTTTTTAATATGTAGAAGAAGAACCTTAGAAACCTGCTGAGAATGGAAACTTATTTTAACATTATCAAATACAGTTGCAGATACAACTATATTT